ACCGAAAGGAAGTCTATTTCCTATATCTTGATAGGAATGAAATAACAAATATGTTAATAACTGTGGTGCCCCTTTGTCCTTGTCCCAGAATCCACTGCTCTCCATTCTTGTGATGGAATTGCTTTCTCTCTGGAGGAAGATCGTCATAATAATCAGGTTGCCCCAATGAGGAGGAATAATTCTCCAGACAACACCTAACCCTGGCTCATGTCCTTCATTTGTCAGAGGCCGGTTCTGACTCTCCTTTATATTGTAGGACTGAGTCTCCTAAGACCCGGGGCTGAACCTGGAATGGAAAGGCCATGGGAATTAGTTAGGAAGAACTGTATCTCCTCAAGGCAGGGGCCTCGTCTTTTCTCACACTACCCCTAACCTTGAGTCCGCATAGAGTAAGTGCTTTTATTAGTGTGTTCAGACTGCCTTAACAAAATGCCACAAACCTGGTGGCTTAAACCACAGAAATTTAGTTCCTCACATGTCTGGAGGCTAGAACTCCAAGATCAGGGTGGGGTGGGGTTAGTTTCTGGTCAGGGATTTCTTCCTGGCTTACAGCCAGCCCCGTGCCTTCTTGCTCTGTCCTCTCAGGGCCTTTCCTCTGTGTGGGTGCAGAGGGAGAATGCTCTCAGGTATCTCTTCCTATTTTATTTAAGGACACTAGTCCTCTTGGTTAAGGCCACACCCTTATCAACTCTTTATAGGCCCCATTTCTAAATACAATCACATCGGGGTTAGGACTTCAACATGTGGATTTTTAGGGGGACATAATTCAGTCCATAACAGTGCACCATACATATATGTGGAATACAGCAGTTCATGACTAGTGAATCTTTGATTGATTGAATGGATGAATGACTTCGTGATTGATTTTTGGTGGTGAGTTGTAAGGAGAAGAGACTTGAACAGAACAGGAAGTTCCTCTAAGGCCCCTCAGAGCAGCTCTGAATCCAAAAGGATCCTGTAACTTCAACTGGTGGGGCTCCACATCTCTCCTGTCCCATTTACAGGAGGCCAGTAAGTTCGTGTAAGGCAGCGGTTCTCAACCTGTGGGTCGCCAACCTGTGGGTCGCGACCCCTTTATGGGTCAAACAACCCTTTCACAGGGGTCGCCTAAGACCATTGGAAAACACATATATAAACAGTGGTTCTCAACCTTCCTAATGCCATGACCCTTAAATACAGTTTCTCATGTTGTGGTGACCCCCAATCATAAAATTATTTTCATTGCTACTTCATAACTGTAATTTTGCTACTGTTATGAATTGTAATGTAAATATCTGATATGCAGGATGTATTTTCATTGTTACAAATTGAACATAATTGAAACACAGTGATTAATCACAAAAACAATATGTAATTATATATGTGTTTTCTGATGGTCTTAGGAGACCCCTGTGAAAAGGTCTTTCGACCCCCAACGGGTTGCGACCCACAGGTTGAGAACCGCTGGTGTAAGGGATTAATGAAGCCACAGATAGGTGTTTCATTCCACGTGGATCAGTTTCTTTCATCTTGAGAAAGGCTATTCCATAACCACAGCCAATAGGCATTAGGTCTTAGGAGCTAGACATGGACAATTTAGAATAACCCAGACACAAACATGCCAGAGTTAAGCTCATCTAGTATTCCAGCACTGAACTGCCACTATCAAACAAACACCACACAAAGCATGAACGCCACACAGGGTCCGAATGCAGGCATTTTTCTTTGCAATGGAAGTCCTCATTCTAAATATCAGAGTGCAAAATTTGGCTTCATTTCAGTCTGGTAACCTCTTAAAGCTACTCTTTAAGTTGTGTAGTATATGTTTAGAGAAAAATTTAGGAGTAAAAAAAACCAAACATCAGAAGAAATGAAATCACCCATAAAATTTCTTGACACCTTAATAAAATTGTTTCTAAGCTTTTCTTGTACATACTGGAATTGCATATCTAGACCTTTTCAAGAGACATATATGCACTTCCCACATTTAAATGTACATTTATAAAATAATTTTCAAGGTCTGTATAACACTCCATCTAGGAGATGTGTAGTCATATGGATCCTGCGGATATATGTGGGATTTATTACCAGTATGTACACAAGGTAGCAGAAAAGATAATTTGCTTTATCTCATAGTTTACATACAGAATTTTACGTTTCATTAGCCAGTATTGGCATGTCAAAAGAACACATAATTCAGCCTGCCTGTTATTCTTCAGATAGCAAACTTACATGTTCTTTAATATAAATATTATATCATCACACTTGGATAGTTCAAAACTGAATTATTTCCTTTTCTTTTCAATCAATGAGGATTTAGTGATGAGATGACTAACAAAGTACACCGATGATCCTCCCTCCAAAGGCTCTCTTCTCATCATTACTTCCTATAATGTGCTGAGTTTCCCCCGAGCACTCCCCATACATGGTATTGGTCAGCTGGATACAGGGCCCTCATGCACATTACACTCTGTTAGTAATTTCATCCCTTGTACACAGACCTACCAAATGTCAATTTTCTAACAAATTACATTTTCCAGTTATTATTGGCTTCAATTTTATAGTCACTTTCGAGAAAAATGTCAGTCGAAAATTGACAAAAAAAAGTGACATTCTCCATGAGGGCGCTATATTTTTTCTTGTTTCCCTGTGTCTCTCTGTTACATTTATGCTGGTCCTGGATTATGACAGAGTCGATGTGCACTAGGTGGAAATTTAGGGGCTAGAAAGTGAAGATGTTAGGCGAGGGAAGGCACAAGGGAACTCATTTTTCTTGAATGCTTACTACGATGCACTAAATACTGGAATAAGTGCTTTATATATTTTATTATATTTAATAATCATAGGAGGCAGGGATTATGCTTTTAAAATAAGAAAACTGAGACCCTGGCCAGGTTACAGGTTGGATTTCTGGTCAGGGCGCATGCCCAGATTCCTGGCTCAATCCCTGGTCGGAGGCCTGCAGGAGGCAGGGAGTTGATGTTTCACTCTCACATTAATGTTTTTCTCTCCCTCTCTCCTCCTTTCTTTTCTCTCTAAAAATCAATTTTAAAAAAAGAAAGAAAACTGAGGATACATGTGAAATGATTACCATGGTGAAGTTAATGAACACATCACCTCATATGATTACCTTTTTGTTTGTTTTGGTGAGAACACTTAAGATCTACTCTCTTTGCAAATTTCAAGTATAAAATACAGTGTCATTAGCTGTAGTTACCAGGCTATCCATTCGAGCCTTATTCATTTTATAACTAAAAGTCTGTACCCTTTGACGATTATCTCCTCATTTGCCCCAGTGCCCAGCTCCTGACAACCATCATTGTACTCTCTATTTCTGTGAGTTCCCCTCCCCCCCAGATTCCACATGTAAGTGAGATCATACAGTATTTGTCTTTCTCTGTCTGGATTATTTCACTTAGCATAATGCCCTCCAGATGTATCCATGCAGTTGCAAACGGCAAGATTTCCTTATTTTTTAAAGGCTGAATAATATTCCACATTTATCCATTGATAGGCACTCAAGTTGTTTTCATAGCTTGGCTATTGTGAATAATGCTGCAATGAACATGGAGTGCAGCTATCTCTCTGAGATACTGATTTTACTTCCTTTGGATGTTTTCCCAGAAATGGGATTGCTGGATCATATGGTAGTTCTAATTTTAATTTTTTATGGAACCTCCATATACTAGCATCCATAATGGAAGTACCAATTTCCAATCCCACCAACAGACAAGGGTTCCCTTCTCACCATAGTCTTGCCAATATTTGTTCTCTCTTGTGAATTACCCAATCTTCAAAGAATTTTACAGCCAAAAGGTTTTTCAATGCTTTTTCTGCAAGTTGGCACTACACACCACTAACTTTGTAAGTAAAGAAAAGCTCTTCTAAGTTATATTGCAAGCTTGTTGCTAGAAATTCAACAAGCTACAATATGTTTTATTACATTGATAACTCTGGTCTACAATGTTTATGCTTACAAGGGAATATGAACTTTTGGATTTCCTTTGTGCAGGTTTTAATCTAGAGGTAAAAAGGGCTTTTCCTAAGAAAATAACTCCCTCCCCGCCTCCCCCAAGCAAATAGACCTGAGATTTCTGGAGCAACTAGTAAAGTGTTTCTTTCTGTATTAAAAGATAAGGCTGAAAATAAAAAGACCCCAAAGAGAAGTAACATTTATTAAATTATACTTATGCTAGCCTGCAAATTATTGATATGACAGTCTCTCCCAAAAGAAGGTTGAGATATCAAGAAGTAGGCGAGAGCTTGAGAAATCCGTGTTTGCAGGGGGCAAGCGAGAAGTAGGACTAGCCAGTGCCTGCTCAGAAGGTAGGACTCTGAGACGTTTAAGTCTGGCTTTTCAGAAAGCATTCTGAAGTCAGTACAAACAATGTGTGTAGTAAAAATCACTCTTGAATCTCCTATAAAGTTCAGTTACCTTCCTTTTCTCAGGAAGTCCAGCATCACCACTTCTTTCTCAAGCTTTAACACAGGTTGCTACTTCCTCAACGGAGTCCCATGGCTGTTCCCCTGCATTTGGAGACATGTGCATGAGAAATGCACACCCAGACATACCCTCACTGCAGCCAGATGATCCCAACTACAGGAAACAGGGGACCTGAGTCTAAGCCAGGAAACAATGGCTTCCCTGTCCAGTCCAGGAATGAAACCATGGAGGGAATTTTACACACTATCTAAATGGTTGTCTCTCTCATTTACTCAATTCTTTCTTTTTGGATGAATGAGTATAGTTGAATTTATCTACTGTTAGTTACAGTCATATTAATCAACTCCTCTGCATATGCAACTTGATGCATAGTTGTAGGACACCTTCTTAATCTCACTTGACCATCGGAGGGGACCTGGGTGAAGGGATGGCGGAAAGCCCTGGTGATCACAAGGGTGCAGTGAACCCTTTCATTCAGATCAGAAGAATGACAGCAAGTCACCAAATGACATGTCAGGTGATTAAGGCAGTTCAACTTTGATGATCTTTAGTGATCTCTCTCTCTCTCCTTCAACAGGCTGGTCCATTCAGGTCCAGGGAAAGGATCTCCCCAGGCTGGTGTGGATCTGTCCTTTGCAACACGAACGGGTACCAGGCAGGGGATTGAAACGCATCTCTTCAGGGCTGAAATCAGCAGGGACCTCTCCCACTGGACCAGGAGCATAGTACAGGGCTGCCACAACTCAGCTGAACTCATTACCGAAGTCACCACAGGTGAGCACTGCTGGCAACGGGCTCCACACTCTTACAGGAAGAACACACCCTCTACTTCGCCCTGGCCTCAAAGTGGCTTCCATTCCTGGCCTTTGGGGATACTTAAAATGTCAAAGATAAACGTAAAATCTTCTAAATTAAGGCATACCACATGCCCTCCTGAACCAAAGAGTTTGACTGTGAAAAGCCTTATCCCATCTTCATTCAAGAAAAGTTCTGATTTGGCAAGTCAGATGCAGTTTCCTGCCTATAACCCAGGTGGCTTACTGGAGGCATGAACTTGAAGGCATCAACTAGAAGGGTTCTTGTTATAAACAACAGAAATGGATTCTGAGTACTTTATCACAGGATATAAGTATTGACAATATATTAGGTAGCTCACAGAACTGATCAGAAAACTGGACAACCAGCTCTAAGAAAAGAGCCAGAACCAAAGGCATCGCAGTAGGGGAAGCAGAGCAAAGGGTCGGTGCTTGGGGACGGTCAGCAGTCACCCCTGCCCCTGGTATGAACGGAGAGGCAAGCAGGATGGAGGAAGAACACAAGTGAGCACAATCCACATTCTTGTAGTGCGCTAAGAAAGGACAAGTTAGAAATGGGACGTGTGTATTGAAGGAAGAACCCTTCCATACTGTACTATTGATTGAGAACTTGCTATATGCCAGGCAATTTATATAAGGTCTTGTAGTGTTTCTCATTCTGTGAGAAACAACCCTCTTGGTTCCTAAAATCAACTAATTGAGACAAGACCAACAGTTTAAAAATGAAATAATTTGGAATAGAAACATCAGTGTAAATACTGTTTTGGGTTGTGTGTGTGTGTCTCCTAGGTCACAATGCATAGCCTCATCTCATCTAATAATCCTCATGATTCCCTTGTCTTTGTAATTTTACAAGTCAGAAAGCAAATTCTTAAGTAACTTGCCTAAGATCACACACCTAATAAACAACAGCATTGACTTTAACTCTACGTTGTGTCTCTCTCAAGTCCATTCTTCATCCCCTGTACTGTCTACAGAGACATGGAACTTCTCACTGTTCTGTCAGTGTTCCCAAAACAACAGTTCTGTTCAGAATGCTGTGATAAGTAATTTTTCATGCTAATCTCCAATCCATACAGATAGATAGGCAGGTAGGTAGCTAGATGAAAAATAGATGATAGATAGATACATAGATAGATAGATAGATAGATAGATAGATAGAGATAGGAAATATATGCTGTAAAGTCTGTACATCTGCTAAGGTGGACTCCATATTTAAGCCAGTGTTTTCCATCAGCCAGCACGACATACAGTTAACACCCCCTGTAATGCTACTGTTCCTAATTCTGAGCTCTAAGAGAAATTGTTCTGGTTCTGAGGCCCAGACCACCTTCGTCGTCTAGGTCTCCCGTGGTCACTCATAAACAGGGCATTAGGTGACACAGTGTGGAGTAGCCTCAACAGCAGTCTTCCAGTAAACCCAACTTTGAAGGTGCTTCTTATAACATTCTCAGTACCCTCTTCTCTTGTGCTTTCTTGCCAGTTCTTTCATTTTTCTCTATCGTTGAGGATGTAGTACAAGGTAATAATCACAAGTGTGGGTTTTAAAGTCAGAATGGCCTGGATTCAAACTCCAGCTCTATTTCTTCCTCAGTCTCTTACTGAAACCTCCTAATTTTTTCCATCTATAAAAAGGAGGAACTCATAATACCTACCTCAGAGGGTGTAATCAAGAATTGAGAGAAATAATCCATGTAAAACACCTAGTACTTGGCACATAGTAAGTGCTCACTAAGTATTATCAGTGGTTTCTCTTGTATTACTCCAGACCTATGTGGACCAGTATGCTAGGCTCTGGTCATGTGTGGCTATTTAAATTGAAATCAATTAAAATTAAATAAGTTCCTCAGTCACACTAGCCATACTTCATGTGCTCAACCGCCACTTGTGCCTAACGGCTACTACGTTGGACAGTGGAAATCTAGAGCCTCTCCTTCACAGTGGGAAGCCCTGCAGTACAGCTCTGCTCTCAAGGATTTCCCACGTGACATTATGGGTACGGTGTTTCCGAACTTTAGCTGTGCTGAAATCAGCAACAAAAACAATGTTTTGAAGTGCTATCCTCCAAAGCCTCAGATTGCTGATCCCACCAGTCTGGGGTGGGGCCTGAGCACTGGCATCTAATGAAGTACCAGGTGGCGCTGACGCTGCTGGCCCCTGGCCTCTGTGAGTGGTACTGCACTGGGTGCAGCTTCCTCCTGCTCCAGGAGTATTCGAAAAGATGGGACACACATCAGTGTGTAGTAGGCTTTCTCCACATTTCCTCTACTCGTGCAAATATGAAAAACCAATTACTTTGTAGAATTTTTGCTGCGTCTCCAAGCCAATTGATCTTTTTGAAATTACCCTGAAACAAATGAATGCCCCCAAATATTCTCCAACATTGTTGAAAACCTTTTTGGGTCACTGAATCTTATTTAAGTTTACATGCCCATTCTGCATGGCAAGAAAATCTGGAGTTTTTGAACCCGTGAGTAGGAAAAGTCTTAAGCCACCTGGAAACGAAATTGAAGTTTTACGTGTAATATCAGAGAAAGTTCAGGGTGAGTAGGAAAAGTCCTAAGCCACCTGGAAACGAAATTGAATGAAGTTTTACGTGTAATATCAGAGAAAGTTCAGACTCCTTGAAACAACTTTGGAGTGTTCTAGGAAAGAATAAAGATAGCCAAAGGGATCTGGTTTAGTTGACATTCCACAAATTCTGTAAACTCCTTCTCTCTCAATAAATAGAACTCTATTTCAACAGGAAAACAGTGAGGCTGCTGGTAGACCAGCCAGAGGAGACTAACACAGACTTGTGTGGACTGATCTAGCTGGATGCTGGGAGGAAAGAGAGGATGGCAACGAGCAAAGGTGCAACCCAGCTACAAATTGAAAGATGCCTGCAGCGTTGGGCAAAGGGGCTTAGGTTTTAATTAGGGCTTCAATTAACTTGCTAATGTGTTCAATTTATCCTGTGTAGGTTGAGAGCATCTTCTTGTAACTAATTCTATTACATAAAGGCCATTTGAAGTCAACTAGAATTAAAAACAACCACAACCAGTCCATTCAGAATATCTGATGGCATAATTTCAAAGTTCAAACATAGAGAAGGGGAAAAAAAGAAACCCAGACTTAGAACCCATTCACACACATATTCCGCAGGTGGTAGAAGTGAAAATTGTCAAAAACGAGGATTCAAGATGAGAAGCCATAAGTATGTCTACCACTATCCTTGGTTATCCTTGGGCCCGAGGGGTGGCAGTGGTCTAGGGCCTTTCTGAGAAGATAACAAGGCTTACTGAAGGGCTCAAAGACCAATAGAGAATGTGCCTTTGGAAAATATCAGCCCTTAGTTACAAGTTGAACGCTGCCTGGGATAAGTCGGAAAAAGGAGTTTGTGTTCTAACCGAGCTTCGATTAGAAGCCACCTCATTCTGTGAGCACATGCGGACCTCTGTTGCTCCTGCCACACTCTGCAGGCCTCCGCCACCCCACTGTTGTTATTACTCTGAGATGCCAAGATCCCTCTCCACAACCCTCTGTATCCTAAGTCCCAGAGGGTGAGAAGCTACATGGCACAGAGTGGAAAGAACTTGAATTTTGAAATCTAATCCACCTGAGTTGTGGCAAGCTCACCTCTCTAATCTTTGCTTTTTTCCACCTGTATACTGTCCAGCTAAGGTCCTGCTACAGAAGGGTGTGGAAAATAAAATTCAGTTTGGTTTACAATGCAGAGCTAAGCTAGTGATGGTAAAGAGTGCTCAATAATGCCCTTATTCTGCTCTTCCAGAACCCCCTCCCTCAAGAGCTTTCACTTGTTTATGGAGGCCTGAGTGGATTTGCTTGCCAGAGTCTGTTAAATGTGGTGGTTTGTGATTTAAAAAAAAATAAGTCCAGTCGATACTTGTTAACCTTTCCAGAACTCTTTGGTCAAGGGTTTTTAGTATTCTCCAGTCTTCCTAATGGGAACTCGGATTCTGATGGCAGTCCCGTCACCAGCTCGTAAGCTCAAAGCACTCATCTCCTTCCTAAACGCAATGAGCACAGCACCGCATATGAAAGCCGGCACCTCACCTGATCGATCGAGAGGCTTCAGTTTTGTTCCTTTGGCTCAGAGGGCACCATGCGGGCAGCACCCGAGGTTCCTGGACGCCACATTCGGCAGAGGAAGGACACAGCCCTCTTCATGCAGGGGCCACACCTGATATCTATCAATTACAACTGCTTTTCCAGGGCCAAGGTGATCCGCTCATCAGGAAATTTAAAAAGGCACTCCTCTTATAAAATGAGCTTGGTTCAAATTTCTTTTAAAAAATTAGATTATTTTTGAACAACTCACTCCTGACTTCTTAGGTGTGTCACATTTGTGAATTTTGGTGATGCAATGCTTGTTTTTCTCACCTGGTAGTAAAGACGATAGTGTGCACCCGTGTGTGTGTGTGTGTGTGTGTGTGTGTGTGTGTGTGTGTGTGTGTATGGTGATGATGATGATGATGATGATGATGAAGATTCAGAGGTAGCTGCTTACTCTAAATCAGATGTCAGTTTTTTCAGGCTTGAGACAAGGACCCCAATGTGTTGTCTGATGGACAGATTAGGGCTGGAGGCCAGATAAAATGCAGTACATCCCAGCAAACGGGATTTCTTTCTATTTATTTCCTTTAGTTTCATGGAGCAAGTAAAATTGCAAGCTCAAAATCAACCCAAGGAGAAGATTTTAATGAACAATTACTTCTTTTTAACTTTAGAAAGAAATTTGGGGCTGGCCCCTGGGACTGAGGAGAGTTGAAATGTAAGTGCCTGGAAAAATGGATTGCCTTCCATGGTTCATCTCTCTCTCTCTCTCTCCCTCTCTCCCTGCAGCTTGCACTTACAGAAACCAGGAGTGCCGTCTGACCATACATTATGACAACGGATTTTCTATTACCACTGAACCACAGGAGGGTGCCTTTCCCAAGACAATCATACAGGCCCCATATGAAAAGTTGAAAATGTCTTCAGATGATGGAATCAGGATGCTGTATTTAGATTTTGGAGGCAAAGATGGAGAGATTGTAAGTTCCCTTTTCTTTAGAAAGTGTGATTTCCTATATTTCATTATGCAACACACCTATAATGGCTCGCAAACATAGTGCTGCCTTGTATTTATTTAGCATTTGACTATTTAAAAAGTACTTGCAGGTTCATGTCTTTTTTTTTTCTTTTAAACATATTTTTATTGATTTCAGAGAGGAAGGGACAGGGAGAGAGAGATAGAAACATCAATGATGAGAGGAAATCATTGATCAGCTGCCTCCTGACCGCCCCCTAGTGGGGATCGAGCCCACACCCCAGGCATGTGCCCTTGAATTGGAATTGAACCAAACCGGCTAGGACCAGGTTCATGTCTTACTCGATCCTTAAAAAACTGATCAAATCTAATTTTTCCAGTTATTTATGTTAGTCTTATTTTCCACTAGACTACTACATAACTATTTGAACCCAAGGAAATGAAGTCAGCATTAAATTATGCTCAAATATAGCTTCAAAATGTACATCATTTTTAAAAAGTAGCAAGCATCTGATCTAGCGTTGGTGTTGTGTTGTGTCAGGGATGAAGAAATGTGAAATAGCAGGTTCTGGTCACCTGGGAGGTCCCACAGGAGCAGGGGGCACAGAGAGCACTGAGGTAGGAGGGGCTGGACCAGGGGCCGATTCCAAGCCACAGGGGAGAGAGGGCCAAAGGCCCAGAAGTTTGGGAAAAAAGTGAAATGTCCAACAAAATGCCAATTTGCCAATGGAGGCTTCATGCTTTTCATATCAATGCAAATAGTCCCTGTGTTTCACTCCGTGATTTTCTGTGATTATTACCACCTGCTGCAATGAGAAAGTACATTAGTTCAGATCCACTGAAGGGTGAGAACTGCCCTTCCTTCTATTTTCTAGCAAGTGTAGTTCTTGACATTTCTCAGGAAGACATAGCATCTCATTTAAGCTGTGGAATGTAGAAGGTCAAAGAGGATCTTGATTTTGTAATAACTAGTCTCCATTTGGGTCCTTCCTAGTCACTGGATTAGTCAACAAATATGTATTGACTTCCACTTGGTAACAGGGATGGGGAATATATAAAATGCAGAGATAAATCTCAATTTTAAAGATCCAGGAATTTCACCTGGCCAGTGTGGTTCAGTGGTTGAGCACTGACCTATGAACAAGGAGGTCACGGTTCGATTCCCTGTCAGGTCACATGCCCAGGTTGCGGAGGCAGCTGATCAAAGGTTTTCTCTCATCATTGATGTTTCTCTCTCTCTCTCCCTCTCCTTTCCTTTCTGAAATCAATAAAGTATACACACACACACACACACACATATATTTTTAAAGATCCAAGTATTTCAATTCAACTACTGGCCTACCCACAATCTATCCTTCCCTACCCTCATCTCTCTAGTTATTTGATTGGCAATTCTCTGAAAACCATTCAGGGCTGAAGGAAAGGGCCAGGACCACACTTAAAAGAGCTTAGGGATCTTTAATCCCAAAGTTCAGCACCACTGTTCTAGAACATGTACTACTAGTCCTGACAAACTATCAGATTTCTTCCTAGGGCAGCCACAGGGGGTCATGGTGAGTCCTCACCCTATGGCTGACAGGTGATCTAAATTCACTTTCTGAGAACATTTTCCAGCCAGTCATCTTTCTAACTTTGAAAATGGACCCACAGCATTTTCTAGGATATTTTGTCATTTATTTGTATGTTTCAGTCAGTAAATTCAGCCCGAAGCACCAGTTGGGGAATAAGTAAGTGATCTGAAAGTCCATTTTATTAGGAACCCTCCTAGCTCAGCTGCTGTTCTGCCAATCACCCGGTCGTATGCTTTTCCCTAGAAGAGTCGGAAAGAACAAGAACCAGTCTCCTGCTTTACCCTTGACTTGAAAATTCAAGGCTATTTTTGCTTGTGAGGAAAATCACTTCTGTCTAAATGTCAGCCTTCCTGCCTGTAATTACGACCTGACTTGGAAGACTTAGGAAGGACTGATTTGCTGCGAGTACATGAGGCTGATAAGCTCAAGTGCACAGACAGCTCCCCCAAAGTGTCCTGTTAAGCAACCCCAGGAAGCAGGACGCAGGCCTCTGGGGTGGGGGAAGGGAGCAGAGAAGAGCTGTGGGACAGGCAGTAAGGTGAAGGCCAAGAGACACATGTTGTCTAAGTCTGGAGTTCATCACCACTGTCTTGGGCAGTCCTTCTATGGCTTTGGATCTGATATCCCCATCCATAAAACACAGGGACCGAAGTAGATCATCTTTAAAGTGACTTTTGGAAGTTTCGTTCTGTTGGTGAAACAGATTATGGTGGTGAAGCCCTGACTCTGACATCAGATAGACTTGCCTTTGAGCCCACACTCTCTGTACTGCATGATCAATGATCTCAGAAAGCTTTATAACTTCACCCAAATCTTAGTTTCCCATAGAAGTCACAGAGATCACAACAGCTACCTCACAGGGATTTTGTGAAAATTCCATGACAGCATATAGAAAATACTTAGCACAGTGCCTGGTTCATATATAATGTGTAAAACCTTAACTTTGCTAGATACACATTCAGCTTGTTATTTTCCATCATCAGAGAGAATTGGGGACGGTAGATCAGAATTAGGCACAAGTCTAAAAATACAGTTTTTAGAACCTGTATCCAAATTATGGATATTGAATTGGGTCAAGTGATACAAATCCACCCTGACCAGGTGTTGGCTCTGCAAGAACACACCAAGGAGGGTGAGTCTTTGGAGAGGGCCTTACCAGACACATGACATGCTTGCCTACAACAATCCAAGAGTACAGGCCAGTGGACAGTGAGGACACAGTTGCTGAGCAGCATGGGTCCTGTGTTTGGAGCGTATAAAGAATTTTCACATACAGTATCTCATTTAATACTCTAATCACCCTGTGAGTTGGGTAGGACCAAAAAAAATTTTAAGTGACGCTTCATTTAAAAGAGCCAAGACTCAAACCAAATCTTCAGACGTGAAATTTAGTGCTGCTTCAATGCGGTACCTAACCCAACATAATTAATATCAAGATTGTGATATTGAAAATAGACAGTCAGGAAGGGCAATATTAATATTTATGCTATTGGTATGTATAAATTTCACAGAACCAATTTCGGAGAAAAAGATATGTGAGATGTAAGGAATAAGTTCAAAGAGGCACTTTTTAGTTTCATTGAGGGGCAAGGATTTAAAAACATTAATTGCCCCCAGTTAATTCTGAAAAGCAGGAAGTGCTCTGACCCGTTTGATGTGTAAATCGCTCTTCTGTACCAAGCATTATTTTGATAACCTCTCATGCTCTCTTCTTTTCAAATTTCAGCAACTGGACCTTCATTCCTGCCCCAAGCCAATTGTTTTCATCATTCATTCCTTCCTGTCAGCTAAAATCACAAGACTGGGCCTGATGGCCTGAACAGAGGGGCGACTTGCCTTTGAGGGAAGGAGGGCTGCGATGCCACCAGCAAGTGTGCCATCGATGTCGCATGCCACAGCCGGCTTTAGATCCCGGGAGCCCTGCGTAACTGTCCCAGACTCCTCTTGTCCATTTCACCAACGACAAGGAGGAATCCTAAGAAAACACCACAGGGAGCATCAGAATCAAACTGTCTTTTTAGAGCAGTAAACGGGTAAAGAGGAGAGGGCGGTTGGAAATACTCGGCGTAGCTTTTGACAATCAAGGACGTTCCAGTAGAACAGCATGTGCAGATCTTAATCACACCAGTTTCTAGGCAACTGGTTTACCCAGGTAAGCAAGGGCTGAATAGTAAGATGAGAAATGGACATTTTCCTCTCTCCTGTCCATTAGTGACCCCATGTTTATTGTGATTTATCTCCTACTTCTGAGTTGACTTTCCATGGAAAGGAGAGAGAAGTACTTTAAATGGAAACCCACCTTTTAAGTGTGAAGCACCTCTTACTTTTTCTTGGTGAATTATCTTTCGATGATGTAGAAAGATGCTAAAGTGTTCCATTAGCATATGCTGAGCAGGAATTGAAGCCCCAGACACTGATCTTAGTGGTGAGCTGGTGGAAGCTGAGCCAGCGGAGACTGAAAGATGCTTAATTCTGGGCTGCACTCACACCAAGGTCTGCCATTGTAGAGCCAAGACTGGTGGCGTTATTTATAGAAAGCAAATTATGGATACTTTTTTTAATGATTGCCATTTGATATATACATATCTATACAAGTCATGTGGGGTTAACTAATTATCATCATTCTGTGGTTTTCAGTGGAAGCACTGAGCAATTTATTGACCCTTGTTCCTGCCTGTGCTTGTATGCATGTATTTTTGAACCAGTAATAGAGCAGCCTCATATCATTCTGGATGATACTGGGTTTCACATATAGACCCAATGTTATAATCAAATCTATTGGTAGCGTCCACAGCTCTTTCGGAATTCCAGGGAAATAATATAATGACCTGATATTTTTCTACAAGAATATTTTCAGACACCACATAGCATATTACTGATCAAATGCTTTTATCTTTCAAAACAAATTAATTAAAAAGACACCTTATACTTGATTTAGGAGCCACTTTCCTCAAACCCTGAAAATAAGCTCTAGAATTTCTACAAGCATTTGTAACCTTTTTTCCCCAAACAGTTTACATAGACAAATAGTCTGGGTTAGATATGTGTGTGTTTTTTTTCAAAGTTGTATTTGGCAAATACCTATCCTATGCAAAGAGCTTTAAAAAGTGGAAACTGTTAAAGGAATGTGCTTTGCTCCCTCAGACATAAGTGTTTATTCAATTGCAAAATTTTATTTTAGATCAGCGCCTCCCCAATATGTATCGTGTCACACTAGTTCCAAGGGGCATTGAGTGGTGTTCTGTGGGGGTGCACTAAGAGGTTGGGAATAAAAAATGCTTGTTAAATATGGAGTTAAGAAAAGTTAAACAGATTGCAGGCCTCCTTGGAGACTTCAATTTACATTGCAGTTCTCCAAGGGGGATCCATGTGCCATTCCCTACATTTGCCTACAGAACTCCTTTCTAACAGAGCATCCTGGGAAGTTTGTGTTACAAAAACAACAACAACAAAAACAAAACAAAACACAGGACATCCTGGGTAGCTCTTGTTAAAAGGAAAAAACAAACAAACAAAAAAACTGTGGAAAATACAGTTTTAGAACCTAGATGGTATTTTTTTTTTTTTTTTTGGTTTCTTATTTTAAAATGCTGAAGAGTGTCAAGTCCCAGGCTAACTATTGTAAGAAAAGCTTTGATGCATTTGTAAATTATACTGCACTCTTTCATTATATATTTTCAGAATCACTGGAATGTTGTTATACAAGAGAATTATACTTGTGATTGTAAATAACGTGTTAAATTACATATATTAATGCCAATAGTTTAATTCAACAATATGTAATCTAAGGTGCTCAGTAGTATATGAAGTATGAGTTACTCATAATTAAGTTGCAAAGATCCTATTATATATTTATAGACAAAGTAAAATGATCACAATTACAAATATGATTTCTTCATCACAAGTTTTGGACTGATTAATATCTGGGTGGGGAATCAACAGAAACTACATTCTCTGCATTTATAAAAACTTAATATATTTATATTTTAGAAAAAATATATTTGAATAAAATTAATGCATTTTCTGAATTAAAATGTATTATGAGCAAGAAATAGACAATTTTACTAAGAGACTTGTATATATGAATCATTTTATTTTCTTCCAAGTTAGTGTATCATATCAGAGTGGCTATGATGAATCAATTCCAAACACTCATTTTTTTCTCATTCTGAATTCAAATTACGACTTTATAGTGTAGATCATAATCTTGTCTTGATGTGTGTTATGAGTGTTGTGAATGACAAACTCATACATCTGGATCATGCCTGGTATAATCAAATCAATCAACTGAGTCATTTTGATGAATTTGTCTCTGCCCGACTTGCTCTGTGCTCAGTCTGTTTCTTATGTGAACCAATGAATTATTAAATTTGCAATGTTTGTCCCTTTAAGGGCAAACCAGCAGGAAAGAGGGATGTTTAACTGTACTTAGTGGGAAGCTACCCATTTGTTAGAGATGTGTTTAGGTGACATACCTTTAAACCATCCCAGAGGCATTTAAAGGCCAGCAGGAAAAAATATTTATTTTAAGACTTGAACTAAGTAGGAGAAACAAAACCATACACCTATTAAAAAATACCCAAGCAGAGGCCAATTAATTCTATCAGTTGATGGAATTAAAAGGCTGAAAAATGCATGCTCCTTTGTTTAAAAACTTATTGACCCTTCTTGGTTGAATTCAGAAGGAATGATCATAATGGTCAGAAGCACTCTCCCAAAATTAATGTGCAGAGCCTCTCTGGCCATTGTTTTACAAATATCAGATATTCCATCTTCAGGGGATTGGAGTGGGGTGGCATAAGGGAGTAGTTTTGAATGTACCCTGAGTTTTAAAAAATGTGCCTATGTTTATAACAATGGATATCATGTAAAATTTATGTATGAGTTAAATAAATATTCACCTCTGAATATGGTGGACTGGCTGGTGGTCTCATGATAGCCACAGAGGGATATGGTCTTGTGTAAACACAGCTTATTCTCTTCCTAACACTGGTCTTTAGAAGGTGCTGATGGATAAAGGGGATGCCAATAGCAATGGGCTTCTGATTTTGTTTTTTGAGTTGTGTATAGTTTCAGGATGGGTCTTCACCTGAACTTAAGTTTTCATGGAATTCCCCCAAGCTCCTAATACTTGAAATCTGTAATGCTAGAACTTGGTTTGTGTTTAAATTGCTTGTAATAAATGTAACAGGCTGGGGTTGAGAAGTCATTTTATTATTTGATAATTTAATAATATGGAGATTACATCTAGAACTGTAGAATCTCAGTTTTGAAGAGACTTTGGAAGTCATCAAGCATATTATTGCCCAACGTTTATGTATAGTTGTAGCATTTTAGAGTATATGATTTTCTAGTAATATAGCAACACAGCAAATATACATAAAAATGAATATAAACCAGTTAAAAATTTTAAAGTTTGTACCACCTGAAGTCATCTCACATACACTATGGTCGAGCTACTACATTTTCCTTGTATCGTATTCCAGTAAACTCAGAAATTTCTTCCTGAACATACCTTGTGGTTGTTTATTCCACTGGAAATAAAAATTTTCCAGCTCTGGGCAGGGACCTCCTTATCTCCAAGGCAGGTTGCTCCACTGGCCACAGTGCTTAGAAAGTTCTTTCATACTGAGAGTAAAACTTATGGCTGCCTACCTTTCACTTGTTACCCTGTTCTACCCTAGAAAGTCCAATCTTTCTCACATGAGTGTCTTTTGTAAAAAGACAATTTAAAGCAGGTGACTACTAGGTAATATAAAATGATCTGAAAATGGCTTTGTAATTCCTTATTTTCATCTTTAAAATACCAACTCGCCAAGATTCTATAATTCCTGGTATAAAGTCATGGGAAAACAAACAATTAAAGAAACAATTATATCCACCATTAGCTGGTGTGTGTGTATATATATATATATATATATATATATGATGTCCCAAAAAACATGTGTACACACACTTCGAATAACTATAAAGGCAGCATTTATTAAAATACATTTCATTTTCAAAACTGAACTGTTAAAGTATGTATACGTTTTTTGGGACACCTATATTTAGCAATAATTTGAAGGGCAATTTGGTAATATATATAAAAATTTAAAAATACATGTACCTTTGAGACTTTATCCTAGAGATACACGTGTACACATACTAATGTGTAAAGATCATCTTTGCAGCATTGTTTGTAATGAGAAGCTGAAAAGGTCAATGTGACCATCACGAACTAAATAATACATCCTGGCTGACCAATGCACTAGAATATTGTGCGACTGTTACAAAGAACGGCCTAAGTGCTAATGTGGATGAAATGTGTAAATGCAACTCGTGCAAAATGCAGATATAAATATATTATAGATATTGTTTGTTTCTTAAAAAGTGTTCCTCAGGAGGAGCGGCACTGCTGGGGTTCGTGGAAATCTGTGCTAGTGTTTTGTTGTCACAATGATTGGGGAGAAGGGACACTATTGGTATTTACTGAACAAAAGCCAGAGTTGGCAGACTTCCTGTGTGTGATGACAGTCCCTGCATCCAATGGAACTACTCCCCACATAACTTTTGTGTCCTGAATTATTCATACAGGTGAAAATCATGTTTATAATGACTGGAACCTAGACCCTGACTACAGTTAACATGGAAAAGCATTATTTTTTATCTGATTCAACATATTCTGAGTTTTCTAGATATGCAATTTCCACATATATGGAAGGTTGTATTTTTGTTTTGTTCAGGGCATTTTATAAATCATTTTATAAAAACCAGTCACAGGCAGCAAGTGTGAACATGGTACTTGAGTCACCAAAATAAGACCCCTGACTACTTTTTTATCTGTGCCTCATTCATGCTGAACTCAGGTGAAAGTCAACTATTTGGTGACTTCGTTTTGTCTCAGTATAGCTGCACTCCAGCACCTCCATGTTGAAATGCATATACTTTATTATCATGTTTTCCTTTTCTAAAATGTCTTTACAGTCAGGGGATATCAATCAAAGAATCCTGACTGCATGTCGGTTATGAATCTGTGCTATGCAAACACTGTGTATCTTCTCAGACACACTCAATGTCATCATATAGTCGACGCTGAGCTGCTTACTCAAGGTTAGGCACTACCAGCTCTGCTTGAACTAAGTGTTTCTGCCACTCAGAGCCAACTAACTGTTTGCCTGGAAACGCAGCCTCCCCTAACTCTCCCCTTGGCTGCTGCCAGGTTGTCAGGCTAAGGAGATGCATACTTGAATTTCTGGTTTCTGTCATCAATTCCAGACTTGGATGGTAGGGCACACTGTAGGGCATAAGAAAAGTACCCTGAATAGCTGCTAAGACAGTGGTTCTCAACCTTCTGGCCCTTTAAGTACAGTTCCTCATGTTGTGACCCAGCCATAAAATTATTTTCATTGCTACTTCATAACTGTAATGTTGCTGTTATGAATCATAATGTAAATATCTGATATGCAGGATGGTCTTAGGTGACCCCTGTGAAAGGGTTGTTCGATCGCCAAAGGGGTCGCGACCCACAGGTTGGGAACCGCTGTGCTAAGGTAATGACCTGAACCACACAGGACTGTAGGGGATTGAAATGTTTGTGGGCCAAACAGGAGTTAATAATAGGCAGGAGCTGAGCATATAAAATAATCCTCTTCCTGCTCCCTCCTGTGTACTTCTGAGACATGGTTTCTCCATAGACTCTATATCCTGAGAGACATCCCTTGTGACTGACAAGACCCCTGATGGGTGACTGGCTGTCTCTTTGGGCCTCATGAAGCAGTGGCCAGAGCATGAATGGATCTCCTCCCTTGATGCCCTATTCTTCACTCTCAGTGCCCTGGAATTGGGCCTCTTAAAGCATCAGCACTCCATCCCTGCTTCAGCTTTGGTTTTCTAGGGAGCTTGGCCAGAGACTTTTATTAATTTTTACCTTGGCACCAAAGGGGACATTAAAAATACTTCTTATAAAAGGGAGCCCACTGTATGGGAGAACAAATTTGGCAATGATACATCTGATAAAGGGTTTATATCCAAAATATATAAGGAACTCATACAACTTAACAAAAGGAAGATAAACAATCCAATAAAAAAAATGGGCAAAGGACCTAAGACATTTCTCCAAAAAGGACATACAAATGGCCAAGAGACATATGAAAATATGCTCAAAGTCACTAATCATCAGAGAGCTGAAAATCAAAACAAAAAGGGAACCCTAGTACACTGCTGGTGGGAATGCAGACTGGTGCAGCCATTATGGAAAACAATATGGCGTTTCCTCAAAAAATTAAATAGGGAACTGCCATTTGACCCAGTGATCCACTGCTAGGGAATATATCCAAGAAACCCGAAACACCAATCAGAAAGAATAAATGCACCCCTGTGTTCACAACAGCACAATTTACAATAGCTAAGATCTGGAAACAACCCAAATGCCCATCAGTAGATGAGTGGATATAAGAGCTGTGGTACATTTATACCATGGAATACTATGCAGCAATAAAAAAGAAGATTCCCTTACCTTTTGAGACAGCATGGAGGACCTGGAGAATATCATGCTAAGTGAGATAAGTCAGTCTGAGAAAGACAAGTATCACATGATCTCACTCATATGTGGAATCTAAGTAACAAACTGATGGGATAAATGGAGTGTATCCAGAGACATGGAAGCATGCAACAGAGTGAATATTTCTTATAAAGGGCATCGTGGGTTTGCTCAGTGGAGAAAAAAATGGACACATAGTAATATGCTTGTACTTGTATAAAATGCCTGGAAAGATACATTAAAAATATAAAGAGCATCGTGGGTTTGCTCAGTGAAGAAAAAAATGGACACATAGTAATATGCATGTACTTGTATAAAATGCCTGGAAAGATACATTAAAAAGCCCTCTTATTATCAGTTATTGCTATAAAATGGGACCAGGACCATGAGTATGACCTTAATACCCCCCCATATTACATAAATTTCTTAAATGTGCATTTTAAAATTCTCTTTTGAAGGTTTTTTAGGGGTAAATATTCTGATAATGG